ACCCTCACTTTTTCATACTAAAGATACTCTGTGAAGGTGTGGTTCTTACCCACGAAAGCTTATGCTCCCAATACTTCTGTTAGTCTTAAAGGTGTCACAGGACCCTCTGTTGCTTTAAACTACCATAGTATTTCCATATTCCATTAGAATTATTGCAAGAACAATTTAAATCTAAACCCTTGGCAGTGCTTTTGCAAACTCCATTTCACCAATAGTGCTGAGGTCTCTGAGATATCACCGTGTGCAGAAGCTGTGCTGGACTGAAAGTTACCTCTTGGTGCTGTGTTGTAGCTTCTTGGTTCTTCTTGGTTGTCTTGCTGCTCTTTGTTTGCTTCTTGAGGTGTTGGCTTGGAGGTTTGATGAGCATACATTAACAGGCTGAGTTTGTGTGAGAATGAACATAAAAGCTCAAGAGAGTGTAAGTGTGTGTAAGAGCATAAAACCATAATCAGAGAGGGAGTCTCTCACTTCAGAGGAATTATACTCCTCTCTTGCCATGATCTGACTGGAGCTGGACAGCACATCTCTTTCAAGGGCTTGACTGGACTCAAGTATCAGCCACTGTCACCTTTCATTGGCTCAACCCCTTCATGGGCTGATCTTGGTAGTATCTTCCATTCTCAGGTATGCATGTGCAGCAGGGCTGTAACTCTTTTATTCATTCCATTTTCTGAGCTATCCCACTAGTTCCATCAGGTTTTAATAGGAGTTTAAATTCTGTTTCAAATGAATACAGACACTGCTATTTCCTATATTTCAGCCCTTAACATCATTTTTAAAAACAAATTATTCTTAAAGAGAGTCTTTAAACTTAAATGGGGATCAAATAAAACACTGTCTTTTTTTTCTTAACTGTCCGTGGAGAAGTTCTTCTTGTCTTCCTGAATTTGATAAGGAGTTGCTTAAGCCCTGGCAGATAACTAATTAATTTCCTAATGAATATAAATAATTGTATACTCAAGTGGCTTCTTATATTAGTTCTCAATTCTAGCAAGGTCATTTTATTCCATATTTGTACAGAAAACATCTCAATATTCATATAACTTGTATGGAGTGATTGAATTTAAATACAAAACATTTGCAAATAAACATCTCAAACAAAGCTTATATCATCTTAAGTATTTGAAAGACAACTCAAAGGTTCACCTTCAAGAGAAACATTAGTTAGAAGTAATCAGTCTTCTGTAAAACATTTCCCAACCATAAATGTTCTTAAAGTTTGAAGAATGAAGGCTTTAGAAAACATATAAAAGAAATCCGTTTCAGGGAGGATATTTCTAGAATTCTTTGTGTGGGTTTAAAACTAAAGGTTTTTCTCTTTGCAAAGAGGAAGGGTGAATAGGGTGCTTTTATGACTTTGTTTATGACTCTGGTAGCACATCTTAAGCATCACTCGTCTTTGTAATATCCTGAATAAACCAAATCTCTTTATAACTTGGTTTTTTTAGATAAAGTACACATGTATGCCAGCCTTGTGTTTTTCACAAGGAGAGGTGTCTTATCCTCAGGGAAGACTCTCTTTGTTAGTTGTTTGTCTTTTGACCAGTTGTTCCTAGATTTGCAGCCTGCGATTTATAGGTAGAGCCCTGTGCAGATACAGATATAGGTAGAGCCCTGTGCAGATACAGCATCCGATCCGCTAACCGCAAAAATTATCTGTGGATATTCGCATCCGCAGATTTGCAGGGTTCTACACTGAGGGCCAGGCTGAGGCTCTGAGGCATCCCCCCCCGCCGGAGCCCAGTCGGGGAAAGCCATGGTGCAGCTGTGGGGGACCCCACCTTTCTTGGGTGGGAGGCCCAAGCAGCCCCTCGCCAAGTGTCCCAGCCCCCCCACCTAGTGTCCCTGCCCCCCATCCCCCTGCCAAATGTCCCTGCCCCCCTGCCCAGCATCCCTGCCCCCTAACCCTCCCACCCAGGGCACGTGGAGAGACCTAGGCTCCCCAGAGCTGCCAGAGTGGCGCTCCTGGACCCGTCTCGAGGGGTGTGGGGGGGGTGTCAGCTCAGAGCCCAAGCAGCCTCCGGCTTGTGTTCCTGCCCCCCCGGTCCACTGCCCAGGGCAGGTGGAGGATCCGAGTCAGAGCCCTACTTTGTATCCGCATCCGCGCTGCTATCTGTCGTAATGGTCTGTGGATATCCATAGATATAAAGTGGATGCCTGCGGATTTGCAGGGCTCTATTTATAGGACATTTACAATTTGCAATTAAAGGTTCCTATGAAAGGCACAAATCCAATAACTATCACGTAAGTACCTCTTTCCAACCTGGCTAGGATGTTGTCTCTTTCTGTTTGTCTATCTGGTCTATTCAGATTGTAATATCTTTGGGGCAGGGACAGTCTGCTTCCCTGTGTATTCTGTGCACAGCACAAAGGAGTCCTGACCTCACTCCATGTGCTCCCAGAATATAAACAGTGACTCATTTCTAATAGCACAGCAGCTCAGAACTGCAGGTTTCTCTCTCCCAACACCCCTCCCTCACTCCCAGGACATTATGCAGTCCCAGTTTAGGTGCCACTTTGAGTTCCGTGGCAGCTCATACCATCAGCCTGACAGGGTAATGGCAGAGCTCTAATAGCCCTGCAGCTGCCTGACTGACATTCAGTCCCCCAGGAGCCCTCCAGTGAGTCACATCCCAGGGGAACAGCCCTTAGTAGTAGAAATGGCTGTTTCCACAAACACCTTCTGGAGCAATCATCCCGGAGTGTGGTGGAGCCAGGAGCAGATGCTGAGGGCTATGTACATGGATTCCTCCCTCACTCGAGACAGGATCAGTGTACTCTATCCCCATTTCTCAGGCTCTATGCAACAGGCAGCTGCAGACATCCGTCCCTTAGGGAGACATTCGGATTTGGGCATGGACCCAAGCTACATGCTCTGAAAATGAGGATCCGGGATGTATGAGCCCCTGAAAACTGAGGGTGCAGAGTCCTTTGCACTCATTATTTGTTGTCAGGACTGGTTTCTGCTTTATACTTAGTGTCGGCTTTTCAAGGAGTAGATGCAGTATCCAGCCCCAAGCAGCCACAAGTCAGGCCTCAGAAAATCAGGGAATGGGCTTTCAAATCATGCAGTTTTAAAATATAATCAGCGTTGGATTGTTGTCCTTTGCCTCTAGTTTTTGGGGTGCTGGTTTGCAGAACAGAAGTGGAACTAGTATCTGCCACATGGGGGGCTGTTGGGAATTGATTCAAGTTCTAGGGCGTCTCCCTTAGACCTTTCTACAGCCGTCTAACTCTGCTGACTTCAGTCTGCCCTGGAACAGTGAGAGGAGGCCTGGGCCCAGAGGCTAGACACACTACTGGGTTGTGGGTTGGCACTGCCCCATCCAATTCTATTGAGTCAGGCCCATGCCTGTTTAGAGGTCTGTTCAGTTCAGGCACCTCTGGGGTAAGACGGCACATAGGGAAGGCAAGTATCTTGTTACAGGGTTCTGAGAGTTTACCTTTATGATAAATAAAGTGACTAAGAACCATTGAAAGTCTGTATTTAAGTATTTGCTGCCTAGAGCAGCCCTTCTAACCTCCTCTGTGTGTTCCTTACAGCGAATGGATATCACACCCCTGTGACACCCATGCATCAAATGGAGCCTGGTCATATGAGTCTCCGGAAACCCAGCGGGGACCCCCAGGTAGGTTTTGGGGAACATTCTGAGCAGGAGTGTAAAGGAGTAGGGTAGTTTGTGAGTCCTCCAATGACACTCACAATCAGGGCCAGCTTTAGCAAGAGCGGGGCCCGATTCTGGCTGAAGCTCCGGCCAGGGTCGTGGGGCTTGGGTCCGGCCCGGAGCCGAGCTGCGGGGGCTGGAGCCGAGCCGAGCCGCGGGGGCCGGGCCCGAGCCGAGCCAGAG